TCCGAAAGGGGCATGTCATTCATGTCCAGATCTATTGATTCCCCCTCTCCTATTTGAGAGGAGGTCTCAGAGATATTTGTAGCCGGAGCCTTGTTTCGTCCCTATCTGACTTTTAGAAGCCATAAACTGAGAAAAGGCATCCTGCATGAATGCCTGAAATTGGGCGGACCATATGTCCTCCTGAGCTTTGTCATTGGACGCAGCTATAGTGGGAGTATGGTCCGGTGATGATACTGGTGAGGAGGAGTGAGAGGAATCCATCTGTTCGGTTTCCCCCAGAGGAGACCAAGATCTAAGGACTTCCTGGGAAGTAGGTTCTGGTATAGGGGCCACCAATGGGGCAGGGGAAACCATGTTTGCCTCATTGGATCTGGTTCTCTGGGCCCTGGAGAATTGTCTTTCTAGAGCCAAATGTCTCCTTGAGGCCTCTCGCTCAGCTGTTTTAGAGGGTCCCCTTTGGGTAAGGTGCTTTGTTTTGGCCTTCTTCTTCCCCCCCACATCAGATTCTGTGGATCTGCGCTTTTGTTGTTGTTGTTGGGGGGGGTGGCTGGGGACCCTGTGTAGCTGAATGCGAGACACTGTCTGCCATTGTGTCCAGGTACCCCGAGTAGGCAATACCTGGAATGGGGGAAAACACTGACACGCAGATCAAATTGCAGAGTATGAAGGCTGCAAGCCTGACTCTGAAAACAAACAATGGCCGGACAGACAGGTACCTTTCTGAAGGGAAAAAAGGCCCTGTAAGGCCAGTGACAAAAGGCCACCTTAAAGAACAGCTGGGAGAAATTGACAATTCCTTCACCCTCCTTCACCAAGGTTAATTATTAGTAGTATCACAGGTTAAGCAAGAGGTGATTGGCTGGAATTATTGTATTGTCCCCCGTTGCATGGGCTGTTAAAAAGCAGACCCGAGGGAGTGAAACTTCGCTCTCCCTCTCTCTCTTCTTTTAAAATATATCTCTCTCTATATAGATAAGTATCAGCCTGCTCTCAAAAGACTCCGGGTGGTTGAACCACCTAAAATGGATTACAGCAGTAAGCACGCTCAAAATGGCGATGAAGGGGAAGGCCACGCCCCCTAACTGCCAACTGCCAAAACCACGAGGCTAAAATGGCGATTTGAGGCTCTTGGTAACCCCGCTGAGGCAAATTGAAGGTTGGTCTCAAGAGTGGGGGGGAAGTCAAGAAAAATCCCCCTTTTAAATTGACAACGCAGGAATTTGCGGAGGAGAGTGATCCGCGGATCTGCCTGGCGCTCTGGAGATCGCTAGGCCCTTCGCGCTGCAGCTGAGGAGGAAAGGGCTCTTTCCCAACGAGAAGGGCTGTAAGGCTTCCTCTCCGGTAGAAAAAACGGCGATCCGCAGACCTGCCGGTCGCTCCGGAGGGCCGCGGAATCCGCGCGTCTCAGCTGTTTGATTTTTTTTTTTAAACAAAAAGAGCAAGGCTAACATTAAAGGGGGCTTTTCTCAGTGCAATCTGCACCAATACGCTCACCACAAGGCTCAAACGGACAGGCTCGGTGCTCCAATTTAGTAACCGGGATCGTCCTCCTGTGCTCCCTGAGAATTCAGATGACTGGCTAATTAAGGTAGAAAATAGGTTTCCTGACTATCTGTGGAGCTAAATTTTCTGCTGCTATCGGGCTACGAGACTAAGTCAAAACTGGAGTCACGCCCAAAGGAAGGGTGTGGCCAAAGTTTTGACCTAGTCTGTCAGGCGGGAAGACTGTCATAGAACCCATCCAGTGGACTCTACAGCCATCCTGCTGGAGAAACTCCCAAGTTTTTTCTTCTTCTGCGTTTTAGTGTGGTCAAAGAGAATTAGATCCTGAAAATTACAGGAATGGAGCTTCAGAACCACCCATGATTTGAACAGTCCAGGCCCAGACAGTCTGTTTTACACAGATAAACCTACCATACTAATCTTGGTTTTAATGAAGACCTACAATGGATTCATCCTGCTATTAATGTTTTTGTCTGTGTGGTTCAAAACACAGAATGCACTCATTACCCAATTGCTTCAGTTAATAGATGTTCCTATATAACTTCTATCTTTCTTTATACAGTATAGTATTCCTTCAGGTGAAATAATGGCATAAAAATAAAACAAATAAGAACAAATAAGAACTTTATAAAGAACTAGAGCCTCCAAAATAAAAATAAAAAATAAAAATCAAAGATCAGCCCAATTTGGCTAGCATTCCATTTTGACTAGAAGATGCTTAAAAACCCTATCCTAACTTGGAAAGGACAACATGAGTTACTTTTTCCTCCCAGGACAGAAATATAACTCTAACAAAAAGATCACTAACATGGGTTGATTATGTGATTTCTCAATGTACTTCAAAGTATTTTAAATATCAACAATTGCCAGGTATTTCATTGCTATTCTTTTCTATAAGAGCAGTAGGTGCTTTAGGTTATTATTAATACTAGCACCCCACACCCCTGAATTCTCACTCATTATTTCAACTTAAAATGGATTTGGGAAACAATTGGAACAATTGGACAAAGAATCTTAAACCAGCTAGAAGCTATAAGGGCTCAGTTGTAAATTATTTTAAAAGGATATCATCATTAGTCATTCTCAGCATGGCTCATACATAACCACACCTCACCTCTAATCTACTATAAACTGTTAAAATCAGTTTTAATTGTATTTTAACAGTTTTCACATTTACTTTTTTAATTTCAGTAATTATATCACCAAACTGATTAACAGTTTCCAGCTCATGAAGTGTCTGTACTCTCTCTTTCTCATACACACACACAAACACACGCAAACACAAACATGTTGAAAAGATGCTTAGCTGCACTCAGCAAGAAAGTTGGTTGGATTTAAAGCCCAAATAATTAGACGGTGAATACTGTGTCAATAAAAGCTGTCTCAGTGATGATTTATCAATCCTTATCAGTTCTTTCCTACTTGTTCAATATCAGGAAGTGAACTGGCTATTTTGAGGATCTAGCTCTCCATGCAATGTTTGCTTTAATAATGCCCAGTTGTGCTTCCCATTTCAAATATTAATAGATGTTCTTTTCTTCCTTGAAGCTGAATTCAGCTGAAGTGGTATTAACATTATCTGGCACTCACATCACAACATGAAAAAGGCCCAGCAAAATACCTGCATATTGAAACTTTTCTGTCAATCACTGACCTTCTCAAAGGAGCCAATAAAGAGAACAGTTTATGAATAGTTCCAACAAATTAGCCAAGACACTGAAAGGTCCCAAGACTTTTGGATCAAGTATGGAGAATAAAGGAACCAGCAGTAGAGAAATGCACTGCAGTGGTTTGTCATTGCTTTCTTTCTAGGGCTGAAAGAGTGTGACTGGCCCAAGGTCATCTTGCAGCCTTTATATCTAATGTGGAATTAGAACTCATGGTTTCCCATACAGTTTCTAACCTGGTACATTAACCACTGCACTTTTCTCCCTTTTATTATTTTGAATAAAATTTAAAGGGATTCAAACTATGTTATTCACCAGGTTTCCAAGGCATCTTTCAATAACATTTCAATAAAAGAAATTAAACAGAAATAAGAGCAAAAAAAACCCCTCACTTGTGATCTATTTTCTACATTGCACCCCTCTCATTTAATTGACAGATCTTAACTTTGTACTATTGTGGCCCACACTGTAGTCCAATTATTATAACTAAATATAGCATTTTTGTATCATTGCTCTATTCAGAAAATTACTTCTAACAATATTTACAATGAGAGAAGTTTTTATTTTGCCATACTTTCACACAGATTTTCAAATTCAACTTAAGTATCTAGTTTTGATGTTATTGTTTTGTGTCAAGTAATTGCAGAGTTACTCAATACAAAAGTGCACTAGACTGTGATTAAGAGGTTTTAAATGCCCACGTCAGCATTGCTCACTCATAATACGGTAAGAGGTTTTGATTGTAGAAGATCAAACCAGCCAAACCAGCCACAGACTCAATGATTTCCAGATGTTTACAGACATTTACTGCAGTAATCAGAAAAATTTAGACAAGTTTTTTAAGGGAAAGGTTAAAAAACCTACAGTATGTTATAGCTGAATGAGTAACTTCTATCAAATTAGATTGTGTATTGAGACTCTAAATGGGTAATAAAATTGAAAAGGTAATCTTCTTGTGATAATAATTTTCTCAGTGGAAATTTACCAGAAATCCAGAGTATGATAGTAGGATACTAAGTAATCTAAATCTCCTCCCATCAAAAACTTTAAATTTTCTTTGCTTGACTTTTTAGCATTCATCAATTAACTGACAGGTGACAAAGCTAAAGGTATCAGATGGTAAGAAGAATCAGTTCACTGACTGGGGTACAATTTAAAGATATTTTTATTTTAAATAAATACACTGTTGTCATTTCCTGCCTTTGTGGGAAAACAGTAAGAGGAATGCATAAAAATAATTTGAAACTGAGAAAGTTAAAAATAGGAAAACTAATTCCAGGAAAAAATAGGAAAACTTACTCTAACCTGCCATACTATAAGCACCTTTATACACTTTGATTTTGAGCTAATGAGTTTAGTCTTTTGTGGTGCATTATCAAAGCAAGAAGAATAGAATGCTAATTGGGCCTGGAGACTAACACAATGATAGTTTGGTAAATATTAATATCTCTTACATAACATAATGTAATATATTATCTATTCATTAAACCTATTATTTCCCATTAAAAGAGTCTTAAATTGATTAATTCTAACGTTAGCTTACCTAATTTGATTGACAATTCAGAAATATAATTTCACTTATTTTAATAACTGTTATTCTAATGGGCCAACATGCCAGAAACACTGAGCAATTACTGAGAAAGTAACAGCTTTAAAGACCATAAAAATGTTTAAACAATTCATCTGGGAATACAATACCAATTTCTTCAGGTAATCAAAACAAAAAAAAATTAAATGCAGTAGAGAAAACTTAACTTTTCCAAATGAAAACATTTCAAACCATAATCTCTAGGAAGGAAGTAGTCTGGCTCAGAAAGAAAACAAATATACCTGCAGCCAAATCCACATGTTTGTCCTCCATTTCATCTGTCACTGCTAAATCCTGTTCTTCTCTCCTGTTCAAAGCCTTAGAAAGGCTGCCAGAGAGTGTAGAGAAGAAACCACGAATAAAGTAAGTGTCCGGATCACCACCTTCTGGTTGCAAAAGTGGCTTTGGATTTCTGTCTCTCCAGGATGGTGCAGGTTCAGATATAGACCTGCAGAACGGAACCCGAAATGTCCTGGCTGCTGGCATAGCAACCTTTTGTTCTTGACAGCCATCAGCAATTACTGTTTGCAGTCTCAGGGGCTGTTCATCAGCTTTTGATGCATCTGTTCTCTTAATCGTCTTCCCATGAAATCGAGGAGTCTGCCATCGATAAGCTCCAAGAAGCTTTGCTAAATCCAAACCTGCATCTTCATATAATTTTTTACTCTTCACTTGGTGATACCAGTGATAGTCCTTCAAGCTACATCCTATTTTTGTAGTGTTGCCATCCTGCTCTGAAACAGATCTTTGAAAAAGCGCTGGACTAGGGTACTTTTTAAAAACACTCATTTCTCACCAATAACTTCAGGAACTTCAATTTACACATTTATTTAATATACATATTGACACTCATTGAGATTCCCACCTGAGCAACTTCTGCTGTGCAGTAGTAGATGTCCTTGAATACTTGCTACTGAGTAAATCTAGTTCAGACTCAATTCTCAATTCTCAGTATCTTCAATTACACAGATGCCTCTGACAAAGCACAGAATCAGTGTTTATCCAAAAATAATTATTTTAAGCTGAAGCAGCTTGCAAATGACTTTTCAGTTCTGGGTTCACTTCTGACAGACTTTCAGGAAGTGACAAAAAAAAAAGGGGGGGGGGAATAGTAAAATTCAATGAAGAAGTGACAAACCAATTACAGTTCTGCTTTCTATTTCTAACTACACTATAAAAATAGAAGATAAAAAAATACCTTTAGCTTTCATATAGTAACATCAAACAGATCTGCCACAAAAATCTTGATCAGAAAAATATGTTGCATCAGGATGAAGAATTGACAGTGATACTGGTTGGAAATGTTTCAATTCCTGAATAATTCAGTATATATATTTATATTTACCATAAAGATTTGCAAATCCAGATCAAGAATCAGATCCACAAGAACCTAATACAGTCATTCTTCCAAAGACGCTTATAAATGCACTGCAGCAAAGAAAAGGAAACAGCAGCTGAAAGGAATAACTTGCTGCAAAGGAAAATATGCACATAGAAGGAGAAATGAGAGGGGAGGTAGGTGGTGTTTAGTCAATTACTGGCCAAAGCAAAGAAGCAGACCATTTGGAGGCAAAATCTTGTGGCAAATGAAACATAAAAAATGTGCATATTTTTAAAGTGAGCAGGATTTTTGTTTTCATAAATCTAATTAGAGTCGGTAGACTGGAAAGTAATATCCCCTCTAGTTAAGTAAAAGAAAAATTGCCACCTCCAGAATTTAGAGAACAGCTTACTATATTAAATTTGCTAAAGAAAACTTATCTGCTAATAAACACAAGCCAAGTTTCAGTTCAGATTATAACAATATGGTCACAAAGCCTAGAAAATATGGGATTTGCAATGGGAACATTTTAAGACCCTTGGCAGACATAATCAATGTTTTCGTTATTTGAAACTATTATCTAGTTTGGAAAAGTAACCACATCACCACACATTCTTGAGCTACTCTTTTTATCAGCTGCATAGTGATGCTCCAAATAGCCAGAATTGAGACCTCAGAGAACTTTTCTTCAAGCAAAAATGCACGTTATCCCTTGGCAGATTTCTGATGCCCTACTTTTTCACATTAAAAAGGTGAGAAGAAAAATCATAGCGTTTATTCATTTATATTTAGACAACGTATATAGGTACCAAGGTAATTCTAAGAGGCATGCAGAAGATTAAAATACAATTAAAAATCAGCATCCAGGAAAATATATATATATATATAATGAATAGCCAGGGTTAAAAAAAGTCAATCCATTTTGAATTGCTAAAACAATAACTAAACTAACAAATCAATCTTACTCTCATAACCAAATCAAAAAAAACTTTACCAATCCTACATTTTCGGTCTGAGGGGCTGAAGCAAAAAGAGGCTGAATTTCTAATGCTGTGAAACACTAACTTCTTGGCTGAAATCAGGCTAGCCTTCTTTTTGATGACATTTTCGAAGCTTTTAAAGACAGGGTTGTTCCAGAGTAGTTTCCAGTTTCAGTGGTGTAGTTTTATTGTTTATATAGCTGATATGGAGACTATGAATACTATGGATGTTTTACTTGCTTTTTATTCTCTATAGAGACTACCTTTGGCGAGGTAGAAATGTGGAAAAATAAATGACTAAATAAATTAATTAACTGCCCTAGGAATATTCAGGTCTTTAACTCCTTTTGTAAGACCAACAAGGATGGGGTCATCTGGACCTGGGGGGGGGGGGGGAGAGAGTATTGCTGTTCCACAGAGCAATGAAGCAAAATAAAAGGAGTAACTCCTGTCACACAACATGACCTTGTCAAATATAGTAGATGGAACCTGGAACATGTCAATTCTTCCAATTATGGTGGGATGAGCATAGATAGTAACATGACTTGACCTTGTGCTTAGTACAGTTTTATAGGTGATAACTACCACCTTAAATTGCACTGAGAAGCTCACTGGGACCCAGTGTAAGTCGCAGAGCAAAGGTGTTACATGGGCATATTTTGAAATGCCCCAAATCTTCCCATACCACTACGCTTTGGACCACTTGCATTTTTCAAATGCTTCTCAAGGGTAGCCCCATATAGAATGCATTACAGTAATCCAACTGGAAGGTGACTAAGCCATGAGTTGGCATGAATTACCATGGTATGGCTTCCCAATCCAGAAATGGATGCAACTGGCACATATGGCGAACTTGTCCAAATGCCCTCTGGGCCACAGTTGCCACCTTCTCTTCGAACCGGAGCCATACGTCCAGGAGGGCCCCATAAATTGCACACTAATGCTATCTGAGGGAACACTATCCTATTCAAAGATAAAGATGGAAAGTCTCTGGGTCTGGGGGCAGGGGAATCTCAAAACCCACATCCACTGTCTTTTCAGGTTTGAGCTGAAGTCTGTTCTACCTCATCCAAGCACCCACAATTTCCAAATACTGAGAAAGAATGTTGATGGCATCACTTGGTCAACCTAGAGTACAGGTGTATAGTTGGCTCATGTTGACAGATGACCTTCATCAGTTCCTTAATTTAAATGTTCAACTGAATCAGGGAGGGATGAAGGTGTTCCAAGGCTGTAATCACACCCCATTCCAAGTGGCCATTCCAAGTGGTCTCAGTTGAACCATGTACTAGAGCCCATTATGAATTCCAGGAGCTCATTAGGGAGATTGCTGTGCAGCAGGGAGGCTGATTCACTAGCAACAATCCCCTCTAATCCCTGTAGCCCACCTTCACAAACAGGATCTCACATCCATCTAATTGCAATACTGTACCCTTCAGAATCTCTTGTACATCAATGGCTACACCGCTGCCCTGGCCCAAGCACCAAATTCAGCAAGGTACATCTCCAAGGCTACCCTTTGGCACTCTTATTTCCAAGCTTCTCCATTTGTACCCACCCAAGCCAATGGATGGATGAATGAAGGAGCCTTTAACACTAGATGATTGTACACTAATAACAACTTCAGAAACCAAATGGATTAGATTTATGTTTTATTTGAAACAGAGATTGTCCTCCCTGGGAGCAGTCTGTCCCATCTCCTGCCATTACTCTCTTGATAAAGCAGTCTGTTCCATCTTCTCCCATATCTCCCTTAGTAGAGCAGTCTGCCCCATCTCCTTCCTTAATCATCCTTGGTAAAGAAGACACTTTCTACTCTTCACCACAATAACTTTGTTTGCTCTTTCTCTCCCAGTTGCCCCAATCTTCCTGATTCAATCTGTTTTTCCTCCCAGATAAGGATCCTATCCCACCATCCAAATCTCTAATGACATCATTAAGCAGCTGGTGTCACCTTTGAGATGCTTTTGACTTGTATTCCACATTCTCTCAGTCAGGCTAACCATCTTCCCCTCTCATCTTTACAATCTATACCCCAACATTCACACCATGCCATCCCAAACTGGAAAATTTTACATAGTACTTGTGTCATGGGTTCCGACAGATGAAACTCTTCAAAAGTACTTTGAGGCATTGTTTACCTTAAAGAATTTTTTATTTGAGAAACAAAGTATAGGCACTACATAGTTGAAACCAGGAATGAAATTCCCCTCCCCTGGATCCAAAGTAACAAAGTGCAATTCCCTCCTCCAATAAACAGTCATAAATCACGTTCCCCAATTAGCTTGAAGCAGGGGCTACATTATTATTGTTATGACTAGCTAGACTCTCATCCCTATTCCTCCTCTCAGCAGCAACTAACTCTAAAAGCAATATAGAAAATGGCTGCATTTCCATCTGTTGTCAAAGCAAGAACATCTGATGATAGCAGTGTTGACAACCTTGTAAAATAAGCAATTTAAGAGAACACAATCTGAAGTAAGGTCTAGAATTCTATCAGGTATGTGCAATTTAAAAAATGTACAATCAAAAAGGGTGAACTTCAGGATGGAATGTTGTTTATTAACTATTTTAACACAAACATGAGGGAGGAAATTGCTTCTTTAGACCCCAAGATAATCATAGACTACATAATTTTTTGGGGAGGAAACTAATTATTCCGACAACAGAGGAATTACAGTCATGTTCAATATAATCTGACTTGAGAAAATTAGACTACATACAGTTCCCCCCCCCCAATATGGTGCTCTAATCTGCCCAAAGTTAAACTTATCATAGCTTGTTTGAGGTGGGAGAGTGCCGCCTGCTTTTCATATCTGCATCAGTGATCTGCTGTAATTGAGAGGTGATAAAGGCAAAGGCAAGACTAAAAGGAAAGCAGACTGAGCCCAGAAGTGCAAGCCTCCTCTGTAGCAGCAAAGCAACTGACAGTGAACAAACTGAAAGCTTTAAAACCTTTTAAAGTTAGTTTTAATGGCACAAGCAGCAGGTTTCATTGCATATGAGGGTTTTTTAATAGTTAGAGGACAAAGTCTGATATAAGCTAGGCAGCTATATAAAGGACTTAAACAAACAAACAATACTGCTGATTTTACCTAAATTTCTTCAAACCCCCAGGAGGCCTAGTGACAAAAAAAAATATGGCCTAAAACCTAAAGGCTATTTTTTTCTATCATTTTACTTTTTGGAAAGAACCATGGCAAACTGCTTAAATAAAAACAGGGAATGGAAAAAGCAGAAATGGAAAAAAGTATTGTTATGGGATTTTTGCCATTTTTTGTGAATGTATAAATGTTTGGCAACAAATGCAGATGTCAATTAGGGAAGAGATGCATTACATAAATATCACTGGGGGAAAGTCCATCAAAGAAGAAAGAAAAAAGATAGCATTGTTGTGTCGTTTTTGAACTCAGAATCTGGTTTCTAAGTATTCTGAAAATGATTCATTGGTGTCTCATGGTGTCTCCAATCTTTGTGGTTTAATCTAGTAGCTAAAAAGAAATTTCATGAAAAATGCCAAATTCACTTTATAAATCAAACTTGGCATGAAACTTTTGACATTTATTGCACTTCCATTAATATTAATAAGCTTCTTTTAAAATAAACAACTTATTAAAATCAATGATGTATCATAATGATTGATGCAATTGTTCTAGAAACAGAAAATATGTTCAGTGTACACTTGATCTCAGCCCAAATGCT